TCGTCTTTAATCTCACCACAGCCGCCACTCGTCTCATGTCGATACCCCATGCAGCGCTCACGCTCTGCAAGTCCATCTTATTGATGACAATCTGCTCGTACACTTTCTCCCGCAGCTCTTCGGACAGCACAGGCTGCGACTTGAAATTCGGGTTCAGCGGGTAAGGCTGCAGATCCGAAGCTCGTTCTTTGGGCGTACCACTCTCCCTCGCAGCCCTTTCCTGCCTCTCAGTAGCCCTGACTTGCGCTCGTTCCGCCCGCTCAGCTTCGTCGATGCCATCCTCTTCCTCTTGCTGAAGTACCTCGTCCTCATCGCGTATCGGCTTCTCTTGCCGTACTGGTCTGGGCCCGTCTCGTACTTGACCTTTGGCTCGTCTGAGGTTGCCGGTCTTATCATAGGCTGTGAGGTAATTCGTGCTACCTGCTAGAGGCTCGCGGAAGGCTTTTCCGGGACCATTGAACCAGGCCCACATGTTGCGGCGGAGCATTGTTGTTCTCCGGGCGAGATGCCGCTGGCTGTCGGGGGATGAGACATGGAAGGAGCGGCGGAGCGCCGCTGCATCGGCAGAGGGACATGGTCTGGTGCGGAAGCATTGACAGACTGGGACGGAGGGAGACTGTATTCGGGGAGGCATGTTGTGGAATGTAACGAATGAGTGAAATGGCAAGAACGAGTTTCTGTCAATGGATCCAAATGTCTTGGCGTCGGGAGTGCTGCGGACTTCGGACTTCACTCAACCTTGACTTCGCTTCTTTGTCTTCTACATAGACCACATTGGACGACGCTTGAAGGTCCCCTGATCTATCGCCACGTACCCTCTGCAGCCATTCTTCTCGATCACTGCTATGCATGCTATGCATCATTATACCCCCGACAGTCGGTGTTCATAGCCCCGTGAAACCAACCGCAAGCAGTCCCAATACTACTAAGGGCAGCACCATCTTATGCGACCTCACTCTAGCTCCATCTGACGAGTGCGGGGTGGGACCTGCGGCAATATCTGCTGCGCCCTTGGTCGTTGACGTCGATGTGCTGATAGTCTTGCTGGACGAGATGCCTACGCAGTGGTGTCAGTGTCTGCCCAAAGACCAATCGATCCAAACCCCTCACCGGCTATTGTCGAGTTATGCTCTTGACCCCCGGATGTGGCTGCCAGCTGGCTGAGCACGGAGGCGGGCACCGCGACGTGGGTGGAAACTGCTGACAGATTCGTCCACCGACTGATCCCGGTGACATCTAGCTGAGGGCACTCACCTGACGCTGTTGATGTCGAGGTCGTCAGACTTGACGTCATTGGATCGTAGATGAAGTGTCGTAGACTCGGACTCGAGCTCATGCTGGAGCTGGAGCTAGGACTAATACTGGTAATGGCACTGATGCTCGATATTGGCAAGACCGTGATGGTCTGTGTGGTCCATGATGTTGTAGCGACTCTGATGGTCGTTGCTGTTGTGGTATGCGGCGCTCCATAAGCGGCGGTACTTGTCATTGTGCTTATAGTCGGTATCTTGACGGTCGTCGTGGGCAATATTGGCGACTCTGGATGCGCGGTGTCGATCGATGTCGGGAATTTGAGGGAAGACATCGGGCTGGTTGATGTAAGTGGGAATGATATCTCCGGATGATCTGGTACGAGGGCTGTTCCGTGTGGTGTTACTGTTGTGACCCAGGTGGTTGATGGTACTACGATCGTAGTCATGGCTAATTAATAGCAGTGAGTGTTGGGCAGAGCATGAATCGATGGCTTGGAATGAGGCCTTCCTTTGAGATCTATTAACGGCATGTGCAGCATATGGACTGATGAGACAATATGAATCTTCATGGATCTGATGCCGTGAGGCGCTCAAATGATGGCTTGTGACAGCATGGTCATACACTGGGTGAGCTTCACGATCACTCTCTGTACCTATTGCGCAGGTCCTGTCCTGCTGCAGACCGCCGACCACGTGATACCTGTGAACCAGTCGAATCGTGTCTCTCGGGCACCATGGGCGCTCCTGGCGCCTGGGCAACCTTCTTCGAAACACGCTCATCACCTTCACGTCTGGCCTGCTCAATTGGAAGCTCAGGCAGCACCTTCGACCGCCTCGCCAACGGCCTCGGACTCACGCCGAGCACAGTAGGCAGACTGCACGTAATCTTCAGCGGCGGGAATCCATGCAAACCTTCCTGTGCCGGAAGCTGGTGGCGTCTCGAGATGCGCTGCAGATCCCACGCGATCTTGGACTTTTCTGGGCTCTCGCCGGCACCATTGAGCGCCATGTCCGTGAGCGTGCTGTGAATGGCACGGGAGCCTTCGTCGGCTATGGACTCGTCAGTTTGCTGCTGCCAGTGATTGATCATGAGGATGTCTCGTGCCTGGCTGTCTGGACGGTAGAGAGAGCGGAGGCTCACTGAGCAGCGTTGCTCTGGGGTGAAGGTCCTTTCCGACGAGTCTCGTCTGTCTGAGTTCATTTTTGCGGCTCTGATGCGATCAACGTTTTGCGATTTATCCTTCAATGGACTGGAGTGGATGTCGAGGCGGCGGCTGGTGATTCATCTCGAAGACCGGATTGCAAGAAGTCTTCCAAAACAGTGGCATTGTCTATGTGGACAAAGGCTGTGTCCCGGACAGGCGACAAGGCTGGGACAAGGGAGGATGCTCTTGTCAATCTGTGTCAATGCGCTACTTTGTCCCTCAGTCTTTGTTCAGCGAGTTGCCCTGCTGCGCCCTATCACCCTCGAGGGTATTCGACTTCTGACGGCGTAGCAGTCCGACAATCCTAGAAAATCTCTGAACACTTGACCACATCTCACAGTCACAATCATGGCTTCAACCCTAGTCAACTGGAGCTGCGGCCACTTCATCTTCTTCGAGCCAACACAGGTGTTGCAGGATAACCAGGTCTCCATACACCTTGTCGACATGTGGCCAATCTACCGCTACATCAGCAGAACCGCTGACGTCCATTTAGGCACTGCTACTCCGTCTAGGCTCATCACGTTGGCCGAGCGCTGTGCGGACTGCACAGCGGCTCTGCCTACGTTCGATCCCTACAAGCAGCGCGCTCAAGACTCGATCAATCTGCTAGACAGCGCATTCGAGGACTGTAAAGCGACGTACCTGCAGCAGGCTGCACAGTACTTCGCTCACGATTACTCGATGAAAGCAGCGACCACAGACTTCCCGGAATCTGACATAGCCCATGCGCATTTCTGGCTGTCCACCACTTCGCGAAGAGTCGATCCGTTCTTCGCCCCGCTCATGAGAGTCTACCGCTTGACTGGCGACGCCCAGATCCGTCTCAACATCGCCAAGACTGTCGAAGATGTCGAGAGCGCTTTCAGCGATGTCAGCGAAGCGCGCATCGAGCTCGTGAAGTTCAACACTTCGCTTGCGGCGCTGCAGGAAGCTGTAGTGTTGATAGGTGTGATGCATGACAGGAAGCGGGACAGTCAATTGCGTCAGAAAGAGCTGCCGAGCGAGGAGAAAGTCGCGACGAGCAAGCATGCTGAGGCGTTTGCGATGCGCATGGGTGATTGGAGGTATGAGTTTCTCATGGCTTGTAGGCGTTTGTAGAGCCGAAATAGGTAAGTCAGTGTTGGTAAGTCTTGCTTTCCTTGTCTTTATACATTCACGATGATGGATATGCAGAGTCCATTACCCTTGAACCTCCATTCACGACTATTTTCCATTTACATTAGCATCTGTATGACCTGACGAGCGCCCACCGTCACTGATCACAAGTACTCGACTATCTCTGTGAACATGCTCGTTGCCACTTTCCCATCAGAAATCCATCAACTCACCACCATCATTCTGACTGACTGTCTTCCTCTCGAAGCATCGAAACCCGTATCTTTGCAATCAACTCCGCCAAAAGCAATGCCGCCACGCAATTCACCGCCGCCGAGCCAAGCTAGCGAAGCTCCATTCGTCGACATCGACCTCGACACGCCACAAGGGACCCAGCAGCCCAATAGTCCCGCGCAGAGTAGCCCACCTCGAATGGAGCTAGGCAATAATGAAGCCACTGGACCGAGTGCAGACGAGCGTGCCGAGATCAGGGCCTTTCTTGACCTGCTCGATGCTTCGCACAGTGTTCTTGCGCCGATCCCTGGGTTGGTCAGAGTGTACGACCCATCTCGATTCCGGTTCGTTACTGTTCCCACTGCTCTGCCCACAATCGAGTATGATGGGTCGCAGGATCTTCCGGGCGAAGACTATCACGATAAGCTTGAGCGCATTGACGATCTGTCGCCAACGGATTCATCGACGATCCTTAATGTGCCTCATATCAACGACACCGAGCTCATCACCCCCTACACGAATGTTGTAAGGCTCGGAGACGCTCACGAGAATGTCATTGGCTTAGAGCATCCGTACATGGACGACAGCGATCCTAGTGTTCCCTCCACTATCGACGCGAGGACTGCAATTTCGATTGCTGCCTCGACCGAGCCACCATCACCAGTCTCGTCGCAAGATAGCTTCGAGCAGCCAGCTTTCGAGACGACGAATGGGCTGCCGAGCTATCGTGCACAGATTCTATCTGCAGGTCTGCGACGCCAGCGAAGTCGTCTTGACGACGGCGCATCGTCCTGATCGTCCCTTTCTTCAGACTCGGACGCTGGACTAGACTCGGAGTATCCAGGTTCCCCCCACAGGTTGTCACTGCAGGCGCAAGATTAGATCGCTGGCTATCACTTGAGCCGAGCCCCGATACTATGGTCCTCGCTATCAAGCTGCGGATCAACATAATGGAGTCTGAACGTCCAGATACTTGCTCGTATTCGAACAGAGTATGGTTACAATTCAAATACCAAGATACGGGTCCTTGGAAACCAATTCAGCGACGGCGTACGGGAAGTCCCGTTCCCGATCTCAAGCGTCTTTCGCACTCGTCTTTCTGCCACTTCTATGCCTACCAGTTCCCACAGCGAAAGCCGCACATCACCACACAAAGTTCGTTACTATGTATGCCAAAAAGAGAACGGCACGACGTCGACAAAACAATGCGTGAGTCAGCCGGGAATTGAACCCGAACCTGCTGCTTGGAAGGCAGCAATCCTAACCATTAGACCACTGGCCCTCTGATTGAATCTTTATTATTAGTATTCATGAATTACTGTGAACAAAGTTAGCCAAATTGCCGCTGTGAGCCGCTGCTTTCCAATGACAGAAGTCTGCGTCCGAGAGGCGAACGACAAAATTGTGAACGCTCGCTGACGCCTGTGTGAGCGACACGGGGCGGTACGTGTCTCAAGGAGATCTTGCGGTACGTTGCGGCCTATAGTCTATGACGTCTGCACACTCGATTGCATGAAAGCCTGGTTTATGCATGTCTTTCAAACAGCCCTCCCGCTACAGAAACTAGGTACCACCCTCCAGATAATACGACAAGCTATAGTTCAGGTACGCGCACTGCGGCACATCCACAAACCCAGCGGAGTACGACGGCCAATCCAAGTGCTTGATAGGCCCATTCGCACCGACAATCGGATCCCACGATCCGCTCAATCGCACACCCTCGATCGTCCGGGCGTAGCCACGAGCTTCGAGGTACGCGAGCGGCTGGTTCGGGTCTCCGCGCTTCATGAACCCGGCATACCATTTCGACTCGAGTTGAAGGGAGTACAGGTCTGGTCCGTCGCGGAGGTAGGGGAGGTTCCCGAACAGCCAGCCTTGGTCAGCTCCGTGCACGCGGAAGTAGGGGAGATTGGGGTTGCCTGGTCTTGTTAGCACACATTCTATGCAAAGAGTGGCAATTGCGACTTACCTCGTGGGTAGCCAGGCGTCACTGGCGGACCACGCAAGCCGTTCGGATCATAGCCTCCCAACGTCCGATCAGACTCGTAGTAGTATGCTCGCGGGAAGGCACCTGTCGTCGCTCCAGCGTATACCGTAGCTTCGTCGACGCAACGGAACTGATTGTCAGTTGCTACACGCTGGCTGACATTGAACGAGTCGAGCGTGAGGTTGCCAGAATCGTAGTATGGGAACAGTCCAGAGTCAATGATTCCCTGGGCGTAGGTCTCGGTGATGCCGAGCGACAGCTCGATACCCTGCAGCTTGCTGGTGACGTTGACTTTCTTCGGGTACTAGGAAGAGTCAGCAATGATTCGACACCCACCGTAAATGATGAACACTTATGGTGCTGAACGAAGACCCATCGTTCGCGTTGATGCCTGCGAGATGTCAGTTGGAGCATCGAATTGTCAAATTAGGCATAGCCCACCAAAGATAACTGGGACATGAGCCGTGCTAGCATTCTTCGTGTTCACAATCAGTTGCTCCGTGTTGACAATCTTCCCATCCTGCACCACCTTCTCCGCTCTCGTAGGCAGAGTCGCAATACGCGTGTAGTTGACTTGCGCCAGGCAGGCAATCTGAGCAGCTACGCTTGTCTGATTGCAGCCAACGGCGGTGAAGATCTGCTGTCCGGCCAGCGCGTAGCCCTGCTGGGGCGTGATGTACGAGCTGTACGCGGTAGCATAGTTGCCTGTTTGGCCGAGTCCGACACCACCGCCCAGATTGCTCTGCGCGATGCCACCTTGGAACTTGCCGATAGCTGGGGGCGAGCCCAGAAGAACGCGGACACTGCCACCACCTGCGGATGAGCCTGCGATGACGATCTGGTTTGCGTCGCCGCCGAATGCTGCGATGTTTTCGATCGTCCACTGCATGATGTTGTTAGCTGTTTTCTAGACCATTGTTTATGCGGAGGACTCATCTGTAGAGCTGCAATCTGATCAGCAATGCCATAGTTGCCTGTGATATTCGTCCCTGGGACGTTGAAGAATCCAAGCGTGGCCAATCTGTAGTTGATCGTTACTACGACGACATCCTCCCTGCTTGCGAGGTTGCCACCATCACTCCCAGGGTCGTAGCCGGTCCCGCCATTGAAGCCACCGCCGTGAATCCAGAAAAGCACAGGCTTCAAGTTCTTCTTCGAGTCAGATTTGGGGATGTATGGAGTCTGCACGTTCAAGAACAGGCAGTCCTCCGATCCAGCCCCACTGACTTGAACACACTGGGAGCCGAAGGCAGTGGCGTTGAGATTCTGGCCAACGCCGGAATAGACGCTCGAGTACTGCCATCGAGCTGGAGTATTGGCATATCTCAGTCCGCTGAAGCGCCACGACTTCTTGTTGCGGTAACCGAGGTAGGTGTTCCCGGCAGCCGCGATCGTGATCTCATTGGCAGCGGTCGCAGATGAGTTCGTAGGTTGGCTTGAGCTTGTAGACTGCGTGCACAGCACCGGAAACGATGCGTAGACTCGTGGTGCACCCTGAAAGTCAAGATGACCTTTGCGAGAGTTCAGTGAGACCAGACCATCACTGATCTGGTACTGCTGACGACGATTTGCCCTGCTATTGTACGCGAGGTAGGATAGCTGATTGTAGAAGTCGTCCGAGTGTGCCTGGATGGCGGCCTTCGACAACAGAGTCTCGCTCAGGCTTGCGCAAGCCGCAGCTGCTTGTCGTGGTGATGTGGCATCCAGCAGGATGGCCGAAATATGGTTCGCATCGTCACTGCCTTTGAGGTTGTTTTGGTACAGGACCGTCAACGATGAGTCTTTGTTTGAGAGACGAGTTCTGCCGACAGAGCTTGGTGAGGCCGCCGCGTAGGCTGAGATCGACAACTGGCTGGCCAGCAGGAAGGTAAGAGATAACATACTGAAGTCAGTCGTACTTACCGTTCCACCCCTTTGCAGCGTGAGGCTACTGCTCATATATGTATATCACGATGGTCTCTCTAAATCCGCGTGATCCCCGCATTGGAAAGTCGTCCCCAGCATTGGGGTAAAGGCGACATCATGTGGGACCTGCACATGACGATTACTTGGTCGTGCATACAAGATGCACACATCTAGTATCTTGGTGTGCTTGGCGACTGCCATGCCATCATTCTGCGGGGCGTGCGTGGTAGCTGGAGAGAGGTGGATGAAAGGCTGTCAAATTAGCCGTTAGCGGGTTTAGCCGCTGCAGCACCACGTGACCAAAGTAGCGGCTACAGACCCACCGCACTGCCTCTATGTATTGTAATGAGCCTGTGAATGCTATGCCATCCAACATAGCTCCAGTCATACGCCGCTAGCCAGTCCGATCAGTCTGGACGGCTGCACGTCCATACTGACCAAGTCAAGCCCATCGCAAGCTATGCGTCTCACAGCTCGGGCGATGCAGGGCAGGCGTACGCCAGCGCTGGTGCTCCAGAAGCTTGCCCGCTGCGCGCGAATTGCGCGATGCTTGTCAGCGGCGGACAAGCAGGCATCCGGGACGGCCCACGATGTAGCTAGTCATATGTATGAGAGTCATGTCGAATTCGTCGTGTTCTCAAGAAGGACTTCGGCGCGAACTTGAGTTGTGAGCAGCCAGATTCGCGGTGCATCGGCCAGGTAATGCACTGATTGCAAGCGTCTTGATACTGCGCGTGTAAAGCGTGTAGGAGCATTCCGAGAACACTCAGTCAAGCGGACTTTGAGGCATCTCCAAAGCCTCGCGGCCTACTGGCGGAGCATCCGGGTATTGATCAATGTAGTCGGTGCTTCCATTCACCAACACCGGAAAATTTAGCCGCACACTCCACCTGACATTCGCAGTCGATGCTTTTTCGTGATACTCGCCACCATGATCATTGATATCGCTGTACCCGGCCGTCGAGCCCGCGGGGCGATGGTGCTGGAAGAGCTGCGGCTGTACCGTCAAGCAAGTCGCAAGCTGCCGCCCGTCAACGCCATCACACAGAAATCTAAACATCATGTCGTTCGTGTCAGTCATCTTATGCACGCCGAGCTCATACAGAAAACGCCGGGCGCCGGCTTGTGTGATTCCGTAGGCAAGGGTGCAGGTGCTAACCCGGGCGCGAGCTACTACGCGTGTGTGTTCGGTGTACTCGAGGATGAGCTCAGAGCTGCCGAACTCCTGGTTCACGTGCTGCTTTTCGGGGACTGTTGTGTCGTTAGCAATGACTACTCGCCCTAGTGGGACATTGCCATCACTCGGCCATGGGAATCTTGTGCCGCAGTGGCCTAGCCAGAGAAGATCCCATCGATCCAGATCTCCATATGGTGAAGTAGTGGGAGGACTAGTAAAGTCGTCGCGACTATCAAAGTTCTGGAATATCTGGTTCTCTATCGGCGCAGGAAATGTAGGATCCAGATGTTCATTGACAGTGCCCTTCACAGGCTGGAGTAGGAGACGTGATGCATTTGCAAAGGTCGCCATTTGCGACTTGATGCGAATGTCCCAGTCGACATCGTCTTCCATCACCAGGGCTGACGTGATGTTCTGCTCAACAATGCTGCCTCATGGTCAGCGATGAGGTACGAGGTGGAGTTGGGTGACTGAGTGGAGACACACGCTCTGAGCACATTCATATGTGCTCGCCAGCCGAGCAGACTTCCTCGATTGACACCTTTCTCAAGCCCCTCAGGCGGTACCGCTTTATCATCGATCGAGGTGGCTCCGTCGATGTACTCAATGTCAAGTCCAGTGAAGGCGGCTGCAAGTGCCATGGAGTCTCGTCGATCGCTTCGAGACGTCAAACCGACGACAAAGATCTTCTGGAACTGATTCCCAGTTAGTATGCTGTGCGAGTGCCCGGACTCGAGTACTTACACCTAGTGTTCCGTTCGTGATATGATCAATGTTTCCATCACTGCTCTGAGACTGCGGTGTGTAGGGTCCTGCAGTGACCGCGAAGCCTCCTCCGAGGGACCGCAAGGTGAGGAGTACAAAGACTATACATGCGAGCGGAGGCCAGATCCTGCGATGCTGGCTCCATCGGGGCGTCCATTGCTCCACGCCCATCATGTTGAGGATATTTGTCGGTATTCAAGTTCAAGACTTTGGGAGACCGAAGAAGCCTTCAGAGGTCCTGACTTCCAGTCCGAACAGCGCTCACGTGGAAGAACTCGAATTGCGTGCCACTTAAATGCATGGGCGCGTATCTGACGCCGCAACACGCAGTGCGGTAAGCAGCTTCAAACCTATGCTCACCTCACCGGCTGATGTCAGGACTATATCCATCGCCTCAGCGGCCACTAGAACTTCTCCTGATCTAGATCTCGACTCCTAGTGACAGCTC